TAGGTCGAGTGTAAACGTCCCCCTTCCACGTAAAAATTATGCTTTTATTTGTTTTTTTAATTTTATTTTCTTTCCATTTTCTTTTAATTTTTTTCTGTTTTTTTTTGTTTTTTTCTCGAATTTTTATTTTTTTTATTTGCAGGGTCCAAAAATGGAATTCTGGTTCATCGCCAGTTGAAAATGAAGAAAGTTCTGAAACTTTGAAGTTGAGGTTGAAATGTGTATTTAAATCATACTATTCGCAGGAGGACACCGCGCATTTATTATTTGTGCGATGAAAATGAAAATGAGTTGAGATGGAAGGAGTTGAACGGCCGTGCTCTTGCTCACGCCACTTTCATTTCTCAAAACGCGGTTTACGTGTGGAGCGGTCGTGCACGTACATCGTAGTAAATTCAATTCACTCTAATTCCTTGGAAAATTGACCAAATCGAGAGAGTTTTTTTTGTTTGTATGCTTTTTACGATATTCTAATCGGAAAAACGAAAATTTACTATGATTTTCTCGCGTTCATTAAGATCTGAAATGAGTTATATTAAAAATATTTATCACAAGATTACAAGTGTTCAAAATCAGTCAAATCGTTTTAGCTGAGGTAACTGCCGACGAGTTGGACCGTAGAACATCTGCAATGTTGTTTTGAAAAGCTTTTTCATGAAATTACTTTCTTACCACATCTTGATCGTCAGTGTTATGCAATCGATAAGGAGTAGGTCCGTAACCGGGGCGTCTCAAATCAGTTCTACTTCTTAAAATAGTTTCATTTTCATTTTATTCATTGGTAATACCCATGATCGTTTCGGGAGTATGATCCATAGGATTCATGTGATATCTCACCCATTGAAGGTGTTTTCTGAACTCCGTTCTGGAATTAAGAAATGAATCAAAAAAAAGAAGGCAGAACGCACTTGATGTATGTGATCGTAACTCATTGCACTCCGTAACTGGTTAGGAATACTGAATCCTCTGTTACCATGTCGCCAAGAATCGATTGTATCCTATTCGAACTTACTTACAGTCACAAGAAATGAGCACTCACTTCTAGTGTGGGCAAACCCAATTCACTTCGACTACGTCTAAGTTCCTCTTCTCGCTCACGTGCATGTCTTATTTCAGCAGCAACAATTGATTCTCCAGGTCTGATATCTTCCTGTAAGTATCTTTGATGAATCCGAGAACGAGATACAAAGTAACCTGTCGTTCTCGACTAGGATCGTTCTTACGGAAACGCGGAGCATTCGGTCCGAACTGTGCTTTCTTGATATACCTTCCGAGTTTTTGATTGTTCGGAGAGTATTGCCACTGAAAGCAAAAAACCTGATTCAACAATCATCATACTAAACGAACCTGGTTCATATCGTCATCAACTTGTCGAATTTCGACTCGTCGGAAAGGAATTTCCTCAATCAGCTGTCTGACTGCTTCGGAAACACTGATTCCAATACCTGAAAAAAGATGAACATAAGAGCTGTTAACAGAGTGTATAACTCACTATTAACTATTTCGGGATTTTGCTTGAAGTATAGTAAAAGGAGTTGTTGTTCGAAAAGGAAGTTATGTTCTCTCGTGATATTCGCAGAGCCATTGGAGTTCTGATTATTGGCAGTATTTCGATAATTGGAAACTGGATAACTGTCTACGCTGTCCTTAACACCATAGATTACTTCATCATAAACTGACGGGTTGATTACTTGGCATTCTGAATACCGCTGGGCTGCCTGTCTCAGAATAATCTCTTCACTCTTTGGTGGTAGAGGAGGTGGAACAGGTTCAGGTCTGCATGATGCACTAGAGAATGATCGTTCTGAAATGCGAAAACCATAGACAGTTCTTGTTCAAGGTTTCATACCTCTATGATTGAAATCTCCACTTTCGAATCGTTGACGTGCTTCGTGAATATTCGCAATAGATTCACGACTAACGCCTTCGCGAATTTTCTCTCGATCGTACCTGAAGAAATTAATTCTATTTCGAAAGAATGAGCAAAGTGTAACCATGACTGTTGTTGTTGTTGGTGTTGCTGCTCCTGCTGAACCAAGGAGTCTAGGCTTTTGCCTTTATGAAGAGGACGAGTGGGCTCAATGGATTGATGAATGTGTTGCTGAACGAAATTACTTATTGCGAGTTATTGAATCGGAATCAAACCTTCACAACCATAGCTTCCTTATCAGTTTGTTCCATTTTTTTCAATCTATCCTCGGGGATTCGACTATCCTTAGGAATATCAACTGAGTTAGAAGCAACTAAAGAAGCAGATAAAGCATCTGAAGACCGCCACTTGGGAAATCCGTAAGTTTTCGGCCGAGCTGTTCGAGCTGTTTCTTCCTAAAGCAGAAGTGGTTTCAGAGCTTGAGAGCAAAAAACAAAAAAAAAACGTTTGAAGAAGACTTACACGTTCTAATTGCTCCTTGTGAATGTTATGTTCCCAGTAACTACGAATACTAGGCGTTTTAGCACTATCCACCTTACCAGCCAGCTTTGAGCCTGGCCAAGCAGAGTCGCCTAAGAAAACATTATGATTCGACTGGACAGCAGAGATATTAGAACAGTTTTGACATGTGTGACAGTTATATGAAGCGAACGCTGGCCTCGCACTTTCACTAAATTTCAATGTCAGCCTTAAGTACTAATATGCAAAGATGCGAAGCAACATATATATTTATATATATGAGACGCTTCCAAGTTTCGTCTGTTTTCCCAACGCTCAAAAATCAATTCATCGAAGAGAATATATGTTCAACGAAGCTTTCATCAATTACCTAACACAAGGCGCTGAAAGAGGATTAAAAAAACTTTCGCTTAACCTATTTCGCCTTATATTTGTCGTTGATAAATAAGAGATTCTTGTAACAATTGACAAGACAAGATTCATTTTATAAACCATTAACCTATCTAAGGAAGGTAGTACACTCGCATACACTGAAAGCTTAATCAAGTTGGCTGCTTAATAGAGCATCCATGTTTACAGGATTACATTGTAAGTTGGAAGAGCAAGCTAATCTCTCTCATAAGGTCATTCTCGTATAATTCTCTCAAGCCATGAACACAGAGAATTAGTCAAAAATTAAAATACTCACCGACGAGTTGTAACATGATGATACGAGAAAGAAAAAAAGAGTCAAACGCTGATGGAAACAGAAAGATTGAAAAGCGAAAGATAAATATTGTGAGCAAGTTGGAAGCTCTACGAATCTACTACGCCCACTTGAACACTACCTATTCACCAAGACACTAAATAAATGAACTTATTGTTTCATATTATGAACTTTACTGCTTCTCCTCTCATTGTTTTTTTATAACTCGAACCTTTTTGTGAGATGTTCCCTCCACTGGGTGTTCGACTTGCTTTACGAACCATGTCAGATTCCCTTCTCAGTGTATTTATAGACGAAGTTGTTTGAGACTGAAAACATACTAATATTCCATATCATATTTACCAGATACCTTATCCAATTTCGAAGCCTGTCTTGGACTTCTCATGGAATTGTTTCTGTGGGCAAAAGGTGGGCATGACGTTGCTACATGTAAATGATTGTTCTTGTCAGTTGTAGCCTCTATTGAACTTCCAATTTTATCGTCGATCGGCGGCGGAGGAGTCCTAGATAATACCAAACATCAATCACTTCAGAAGTACAAGCAATTTCCCACGTAGCTAACGTGGAATTTTCGTTTGTTTTCATTTCTTCGTGGTCGGACGCAATGAGCGGTTGAGGTAAGTGCGTTTCTTTCACTTCTAACACTCAATAGATTATCAATTCATCTCACTTATTTAATATTGAATTCTACAAACCGATTTTCGTCTAATTATTAATGAGAACTCTTAATGAGGATCACATTCACACAAATTCCCTTGAATTTCAATACATTCCGCGTGCAAGTTCAAAAATAATTTATAGTTATCCAGCTGCTCTTAGGTCCATCGAAATGCTATAGCTCACTCACTCCAAAAATTAATATGTCGGTTCGATTTTTCTATTACTTTCAAAGCAGCAAATCTTCTACTCAACACACATAAGAGAGAATCCTAATCTTGGTTCAAGTGGTCATTCTCTTAAAAGACAGAGCGCTTCACCGTCTCTTTCATTATGAGAATGCTACTTCCTCTACACTTTTTTCTTTGCGATTTGACAGTTAAGGCTGTCAACCTCAGGTTTTCCCGTATCGGATCTCTTCTAGACGACGTTGCCCCTCTTCTTCGAAAAATCTCTTTTCTCTCAGCGATTCTTATACACACTGAACCTGCTTGTTCTGTGTTCCTCTATATTTACCAATTTCTGCGATGCCACTCGACAAGAGCTACGAGCATTGGAAATCAGACCGGATATTGCTCAAAAAACTTATGCGTGAGCCTCAGTTGATATAAATTATACGCTTGGCAAACGTTGAAACGGATATGAAATGGAAACGAACCTCAGAGGGATAGTTGTTATGTGATTATTAGCTTCAGGAACTTGGTAAATTTGCTCTTGTTCTTCCTCAACAATTCGATTGATCTGTTTTTCTTCTATCCCTCCTCCTCCTCCTCCTCCTACAGCTGGTCGTCCATAAACAGTCCCAAATGGATATCCCCGAACTTTATTAAGATTAGAGCCTGAAATTTATGGTTTGGGTTGCCATAAAATTTTGATGAGACCTTTTATTAATGGAGAGCTTCTTACTATGGACGATGGGCGTCGTCCAACTTCCATTAGTCTCCTGAAATGGTGGTAATTAAATATGTAACAATGAATAGAGAAGTAGTAGAAAAGAAGCATATTCTTACACTTTTCTCGAAAGTTTGGAGCTCATGGGAACAGGCAAGTAAGGAAAACGAAGGAAAGTTCATCTTTTCTGTTTTGAGACGAAGGTTTCTAATATCGTTTCAAATCAAATCAATTCTCGCAGATGGTTTATGAAAAACAAAACAAACATTCGCATATTCGAAAACGTATAGCAATTGGGCCAAAACTACTTCTATATGAATCTTCGCATTCTACTTTCTTACTCAAAATGAATAAAAATATTGAGGACAGTTCAGATCAAAGAAAACAATGGAATAGCCTCCGGACAAATAGCTTGAAAGCCGGGATGCAAACACTTATCGGAATATCGTCAGATGGTTTGTGTACTACGACAACGGATCGATAGGTGATTGATAGCCAAAAAAGGAGTTCGAGCTGACAAGAACAAGAGCTAAAAAAAAGAAAATCATAGAACGAACCGTGATGTAGATGAAGAGATCGTCCACACTGTAGTGCTAAGCCGGCAACTGCTTTAGTCCTCCTCCGAAATCATCTTCTCAAGAGCTGGGGAAGGCTTCTGTCGGTCTATGCTTTCGTCAGTCTCTTCGTCTCTTATCACTCACCAACTTCACGAGATGGCCGAAAGATGAGCAAAAGTAGCAGATTATTCTCACATCGTAGATACATATAGTAATAACGTTGATTTGCTCAAAGGATCTAAACACATATGCGGTAATGACGGTTGGATGGATGGTGAAAGAGAAAGATAGGTGTGACGAAGACACAGGGAGTGCGCATGACGACGACTAAAAAAGCACAAGAAGATATGAAAGTAATTGATATAAATATTTATAGACCAAATAGGACAACGTGCATCAATCTGGTAAAATTAACAAACAGCTTTGCTAGAAGGTTGGTGATGAGAAAACGTCTTCGAAAAGTAGAAGGAAATGAATGTGGATGAATCACCGGCTTTTCGTGGTCTTAGCATTCAGAACATCCCTTATATAGGCATATATAAGAACGAACACTAGATTTCAGACAACAATAATGTTCAAATACTACGAGATCAGATATTAAAGCAATTAATGCAAAGAACAACTAAGGAAGTACAAAGATCAACAAGGTATGCAAAATATTAATGTAAAAGATTATGTGTCAATTGATAGGAAGATGGGATTACTCACATGAAAAAGAAAATGAAAATGATATAAACTCTTCACATGCGAAGAACTTTGTTGTCTTGTCTCATATCTCCCGAAGGTCGCTTCCGCATATTTTTCGAATCCTCCGAATCTGAACTACCATTTAGGATACTTTTGCTGCTCTGGAGACTAGCGTTGACTGCAAAAACATCATTTATTTCACAAAAATATATTCTTATACTCACGATTTTGTCTAGATTGGTCAATGTACAAGGATGTGTTTAAAGTTCCATCAAGATTTAGTAGATTCACAAGTTGATCCTGCATGAGACGAGCGTGCGAGGCCATAGAGGTGCTTAACTGGGAGTTGTTCAGAGATGCTGGCGGCTGCTGAAACATCTAGTAGAGTAATTAATCAAAGACTGCATATACTTACAGGAGAAGGAGACTTTTGCTGCATTACCAGCGATCCGAAAGGTAAATTATACGGAGATAATCCATTAGCCAGAGGAAATCCTAAATAGTGATTTGAGACGAGCGGCTCTTTATATGGACACGAACCTGAAGCTGCGTTGACACTGCCTAACGAATATGCAAATGGCTGGTGAGCAGGAGCTGCTTGAGCAGCATTTGCTTGTAGATTGGCATATGCCGGAACTTGGAAAGGATTTATTGGCGGTAATCCCAAAGGCTGGTTCGCTACTAAGGGATTAACATTGAAAATTCCTGGAGGAGTGGCAGCGACCGGAGCTGTTGCAGAGAGAAGGCCTGAAGCAGACGAGTTTTGTAAGGTTCCAACCACACAAAACACATATATTAATGGCTCATATACGTATCGCCAGAAACAAAGGCACATATAAGGAATTAGCCATAAAACATTTCTAATCACAATCTGACCAAAAGCCATCCAAACATGGCAAAGTTCTAATTTCTAACATTTTGAAACTAAGACTAGACTTTCGAGACGGGTGAGTGAACAAACGTAGGTGAAGAACCACAACCAGAAATGCAAAAACTAAATCACAGTAAAATACGGAACATGTTGGTCAAGAAACACTATTTTAGTTCTTTTCGAAAGAGCAAGAGCAAGAGAGAGAGAGAGAGTTGCTGACTAATACATGTCCAAGAGCCTTTTACCGAAAGTACACAAGTTTTGTTAGCGAAAGACAAAGTAGGTCACAAAATGTAAAAGAAAGAAATGAGCTCGGAATGAAATTGTAAACGAAAAAAGAAAAAATAACATGCTACTCACTCTGAAGCACTAACGGATTCTGCGTAAGGAACAGATTCAACTGCTGCTGATGCAATTGATTATGAATCAGGTTCGCTTGCAATCCACTATTGATATGAGCTTTTGTTGCAACGTGAGAAGCATTCGGTTGGGGTATATTATGTGTGTGATTTCTGCCATAGTTGCGACTCGTAATCGGCTTCGGTGGCGAAGTAGCTTTACGGACCTGAATGGAGGCGGTACGTGCACACAGGTGAAAAAGAAGTTAAACGTGTTCAAGCTTCAAGTTAACGTTGTAATAACATGCTTAAAATAAGAAAAAGATAAGAATCGGAGACACCCTAGGTCTTTGACAGTTACCGATCGTCCTCGACCTTTATCACTGATGGAACATTTACGTAAAAGGGAAAGGTGAGAATGACCAATGCTTATCTCATGACCGTAAAGGTCTCCGAAACAAAAACATTACATGCTATTATGAACAGTAAACTTGCATAACATTGAAAAAATGACAACATGTGTTTGGAACACATGAAGGACCTACTTCTATCGTTCTTCCCAATATTTTCTTCCCATGCAGATTCTTTCGAGCTCGCTCACAGCTCTCAATCGAATCCATTGTAACAAAGCCGAAACCCTTCGAGCCACGTTCATTACAAACGATTAGTGCAGAGACAACAATTCCAAATCTGCAAAAATCGAATCAGAAATTCAGAGGAAGGCGAAACTAACGGGCTGAAAAGCGCATGTAAATCGTGTTCCCTAAATGAGAAAGGAATGTTGCTCACATATATTCTGAAAAAGAAAGGATTACTATGCAAATATGGAAAAATAGACCTATTATTGGTGTATTGATCAGGTTCTTGCGTCTTAGGCTTAGGCGGATTAACACACATCTCACTTGAAATTAAAATGCTCCTGCCATCATTAATTTCAGGAGGAGACACTGGGCCGATCGATGAGGGACTATCTTTACAAGAATAAAACACTTTCTCTTTATTTTCTGAACGGGGCTTATCAAGGGTAACCATCTCTGTAAAAAAGAACGAATTATCACAAATACAGGACACAACGTGTGGAACTGAAATAGAGAAAGATATTAAAGCACTGAAGCGAAATGAATAATCGTCGTCATGACGATGAACACAAAGCCTAAAAGATTAAGCTTATTACGATTGCGTTCATTCGGCTCAACATAATTGAGCCTATAATAGCCAATATAATGTGAATTTAGTAACTCGAAGCGCCAATCAAAAGACAAGATGAACAAGCCAAGCATCCGGGATTCAGCCTAGCAGACGCCCAGACAACGTCGCGAGCATGTCCTTATACGTCACAAGACATAGAATAAATGGAGGAGAGAGGGGGAGGAGTCAGTATAGCCCCCGGCAGAAGCGCCAGCAGGATAGCATTGGCGCCAAAACTAAGGATTAGGTAGAGCAGAATTTAAATCTTACTAAGCGAGTATAAACTACATTAAGTTTGACCAAATTCTTTACTTCTTATACATACATATATGGAGTACAAACGAGTGAAACAAGAACTTGTTAGATGCCAATTGGTCACATGATCAAACCTCAGAAACATGACAAGATTTATGAAAATTGAGAGCGAATTTTAAATGAGTACCGCGAAACGAATAGCAACAGCACCTATGAAAAATAATTTTTCTTAGAAAATGTGAGCAAGCTTATGAATGATGTGAATGGTTAGTAGTAGTAGTAGTTGTAGTTGATTTGGCTCGTAACATCAATATGATTAAGAAGATTGCCGAATACTAAAGTAGAAGTATCAGAAGTTTTGTTGGTTGTAAGTGAAATAATAATATGTAATATTCAAATATTAGATGTCTAGATTGTCGATAGTCGCAAATCGCCACATGAAGCTCCGCCGTCACTAATTGAACGCTTCAGCTTGGGAGCTCTTTCCATCTTCATAGCCTGCACATTTTCTGGTACAACAGTCGATCGGCTGCCATCGATTTCCCGGGGAAGACACTGCAATGTGTTACTCGTTTGAATATCTTTCTCTTTCTGCCACATACCTCTTCTCTCAATGTGGGAGTAGCATTGCGATCTATCATACTACTGGTGCTAGTTGTGCCTGTGCGGGGAGTTTCCATTCCCGATTCACCTCTAAAATCTTTAGTCTCATCCATCTGAAATATCTTCATATGAAAGGATTTGAGAACTACTTTCGTTCTACTCACTTCCTCTGTCGTTTGACGACTACTGAAAGAGGAGTCCAAAATAACTTGTTGAAGGCAAGAAAGGTCAGATTCCTCAGTAAGAGCTTCTCCTGAAAATAAGAGAATTAGTTTAAAGAAGGAATTAGGACTGAAAGTTCCTTGGTTCTAGTTCACCTGAAGATTCTGCTGAACTGACAAGGGGAAAAGAACTTGTCAAATACTTGCCTGCTCCAGTAAAAGACGCTGCCAGAGCGCTACTGGTAGGAGTATTACTTTGAAGTGCGGAAAGTTGTGGCCCCATGGAGAGTCTGTTGCTTAACTGTTGTCCATTAGATAGTCCATATGAGAAAGTTGGAGGTGCGAAATGATTAGTAGGAGGGCAGAATGTGTTTGATTGACTCATTCGAAGATGCATTAATTGCTAAAAATCGGAAAAAGTTGCGGAAAGTTCAAACTTGATCTTCAAACCTGTTCTAGTTGTTGAACTTTATTAATAAGTTTCTGCTTATCTTTATTCATGGTTGTTATTTGATTAAGGAAGGCCTGAGACATATTGCATTAGGCAAAAGCCTTTCAAGAAATTAGATTTACCTTCTCTGTGGCCTCTTTGGCTCGCAGTAACTGCTTACACTGATCTTTATAATAAAAATGTCTTTCTTCGGAGTGTTTTAACCTGCTCTTAAAGCGATTACAAGCCTCCTCCATTTGCTGCAAACAATTTGTTTGAGAGAGTTTCCATATAAGGGGGACATACCGCTATTTTAGCACTGTATTCATACTCCTCCGTATCGGAGTCTCCTATTAAATTCGTAGGATAATGTCTTCCGTAGTTTCCAATAGGAGAGGGATCTCCGCTTCCATATTCTGAAGTGTCTCGAACTGATCTGCAAGAAAAATATTATGATAAAAATGAGATTAAAGGATTACCTGCGATATTTATCTCTGAATTCATATTTATCTCGTCTATCGCGTCTAGGGTGAAGTTCTGTTTCGAATGATCTGTTCATGTCTTCGTGTCGGTAGTCATCTCGATCACGGTATCTGAAAACGATAACTAAATATACATCTACATGAGCAAAGTATTACCCTCCAGGACAGCTCTGTGGTCCTTTATTCAATTTTGGTGCTGTGACTGTATGATAAGGAGCTGTGGGTGATAGCCCTTCAGGGCAATTGAACCGCGTGGATCTTTCGCCTCTAGATGACTGCTTGGATGATCTGGTTGAGTGGCGGTATGACATATCGCGGTCCTTAAATTGAATTTAAAATTCCAACTCCAAAGTCAATCTACTAACCAGCTCTGTGGAATGATCATTTTCTTTGTTGCTAGAGTTTTTTCGGAAAAATTTTAGAAATTTCGAGGTCATCACCACTGAAAGATAGTTGATTTAACAAAAAATAACATATATAAATGAGAATGCACGCATGGAAAGAACATAATAAGTTTGTTGACTACCAAATACTTGCGCAACAGCAAAGAATAGCGGGGGTAGCAAGTGACCAAAGTGGACAGGTCATTAGGTAAGCTCAGTGCCGCAAAAAACAAGAGCCTACCGGTGAGAGGTCACACAGTAAGTACCTCTCCTATACACGACAACCCCATAGCTCTGTTCCCACTGGTTAAGGACATTTGATAGATCTCAATCATTACATCAGAGAAGAAAAAAGCATGGTAATTGATAGAGATGTTCAAAAAGATACATTGAGCTTACGTGAATTCATCAAAATCTTGACGTACATCAAATAAATTTAAACGAAAGTCAACAATGTAAGCCAACCTACGTGTTTGTTATTACATAAAAGAACGGCAAAGTGACTAAAGACAAAGAATGAATCTGAAGAGATAAAAAGCTTGGTGTACTTAGCATTTGACCAAAGTTGCTAATTTTTTATATGAGCTTGATTAGACAAGCGTTACAAAAAGAAATGTTTGGCTACACTCATACCCATACACACACAGACGGTCACTCTAATGAAAGCTATTTGACAACCCAAAAAAAGAATGAACAGCGTGGTGTAAATGATTAAAAAAAAATTAAATAGTTGTCCTTCAAGCTGCTATAACTTATCAAGGTCGAATGATAGAAAACTCTTTTGAAGAATATTTATGACATGCATCCTTATTAGCGAGAAAAAAAGGAAAGAAACTTGCGAATGATAAAGTAAAGAGAGCAATGATGTAAAATGAATTTAGAAGATGATTTATGAATGATTACAAGAAAAGGTAGTTCGCTAGAATAAAATTCCACTTACTTGAGTTGTTTCTCCGTAATTCAAAACAAAACAACTTTCAAATTTCAAATTTCGATTTATATTTTCGACGCAACCGTTCTTTTCTGCATTGGGAATGGGAACATTGAAACGTGTCCCAAAAAAGGATATGAAAATTAGCAAAAATGCTTAAAAATAGAAAATCTTGTTGGAGAGAGACTTGGACATATTGCTGTACGCATCTTCTTTGATCTTACCGACAGGACGCCTCAGAATTCAAATTTGGCGCCAACGTAATAGGACCATTTTTACGAGATAGCATAGGATATGAAGAGGGATAGACATAATGCTAATAAAAAAAGACAGAAAAGAAGCCATATAAGGTGGAAACATTCTAAATCGCAAAAAATGACTTATGATTCAAAGAGAATTATACACATCAAGAAAACTGAACGCAAAAGTCAGAAATGACCTGAGACACGTATTATCTTTATCACATATGATTTTTGGAGGAAGTCAAGTAATCGATCGGGGAGTTGTTGATCAAACTAGGAAACTATTTTCGTTTGAAAGGCTTATTGATTGTATCCAAAGATATTTGAAGAAAGAGGAAATCTAAACGTTCTCCAGTACCTATGGGTATGCAGTGTCTGTCTTTTCCCAAAGGTTATGATTGTTGCTAAACGGAAGTACCTGATACTGTACATCCTATTATCTACTCGTTCTCAGCTTACTTGTGACTTGTTGTCGTTCAACCTGTTTATCTAATGTGTTTGCTTACAGATACAAGCGAATAATGTCTTTTATCAAAAATATATTTCAATCAAAGCAGAAAAGTTCCAAAGTAAGTTGTTTTGTGTACTTGCTATGTGGGAGCATTGATTTATAGAAATCTTCTTTGGAGTCACACATTCAGTATCCGTCTGTTTATACCTCCAGTTCTGCTAATCCCAAGGTTCATCGCTCAATTCTCAAAAGTCGAAGTGTTTATGACGCGTTGGTTTTGTAACTTTTTTCCGTATATTAGCGAGAAGTTTAGAAGTGAATTGGCAGCATCGAGGAATGCCCTTTCGCTGGCTGGCGACACTGAATTTATGGGGCCTCAAATTATAAAAAGGTATCCCTTTGAGTTAACCGAATATTAAACTCTCTCTTTAGATCCCGATCTAGAGCTCGCAGTTTGGTATCCAGTGATTCATCTGAGGTCGATAATTTGAATTGGCAAGACAGAATGGTTGTATGTTTATGTATAGATGACCTTTTTCAATCTACATAGGTTCCATTTGTAGACATTGGAATATGAAAACAAAAAATTACTTCTCAAATTAGATCGGGTGGAAGCTAAATGCGACTATTTATCGGATGCTAAGAGGCAGATTGAAAAGGTTGCGTTCAATGACTTCTATTAACCGCCGCAATCTTATTTCCAGGCATTCCTCCGTGAAATAAACGATGTCAAAGAGCATAATAGTATATTGAGAACTGAAAAAATAGCCTTGGAGCAGATGGTAATGGCCTTGGAAACAGTAAGACCATGATGCTATCTGTATGCTTTCATGTTGTGTTTACAGAGACTGGATGAGTTGTTGCAAATCTCAGCTCGTAGAGCCGATATGTCCGCCCTTTCCAGAGGTATTTTAAGCTGAAATAATTTGTTTTTACCGTTTAAATTGCAGCGGAAACTCGTTCAGAAGTTACAATGCCTGGTATGGATGATTAACAAGTGTTTTTCAACTTTGTTTAGCTTTTTTTCCTTTTTTCATAACATTTGTGGCTGAGCCATACTATTGACGGGTATCCCATAATTTATTCTCATTAGTTTACTAGAATCTCTGTTTTTAATAATTCATTTGTAATCATAGATATTCCTGCTGGTTCTGCGAATCTCTTCCAATTAACCCTTCGGTATTTGTCCTTCTGTTTGTATCTGCTTCTAACGCAATCAATCCTCAATTAGTACTAGCTGGTGGTGGTGGTGGTATCTCGGTGAATATTGTCAGTAGAAAGAACTCTTTGTATTTCCTGAGCTGTGTGTGTGTGTGTGTGTGTATGTCTCCTTTCGTCTTGCCATATAAAGGCAGATAATAATATTGGTATGTATATATTCGTTACAATTTATAAATATCATAGATTGCTCTTTGTATTAATCTTCTGCTGAAACTTCTTTTTCTTCAAAAAAACCTCAAAAAAAAGAAGATATAGGCGGGACTGAGCTGCTTTTTCGAAATATGAGCTAGCAACTTCATAATCCTCATAAGGCGTACGAGGTTCTGCCATGACCCAAAGTTTCAATGCAAATAGCCGAATAGTGCTTGTTTCTTGATGTTTGTCGCTTTCTTTGTCAGTAGATCTGAAAGCGTTAATTCGATGATTTCTGGGAATCTGCTGCAGCATCTTTGGAAGTATAATGGTGAGTCAGACTCAGAAATCACTTTCTTTTATTACAATTTTAGAAGAATACACCCCGCTTGTCCTGAAACAGTATTTTGCGAGAATAATAAATTTCAATAATACATCCTTTGAATACGAATTCTCATAGAACATTGACCCAGCCCACCAGAGGAGGTTTGGGGCTTAGTCTACAATGTCCATTTCATAAAGTTCAATTGCTGTATGACAGAAGCAAATTCTTTACTCTTCCGCTTTTCTCAGACTTTAAAAATACTGATCTCCTGCGTTTGAATTACAAGCTATAATTAGACTTTACATTCTGGCAGTACAGCATCCGGCTTTTCACGAGCACAGCTTCTTGTATTCTAATTTTATTCATTTTTTCCTCCATATGAGAGCATGCCACATTCATTTCTATAACCTTTCATGCCTTTCATGTTCAATTAAGAGTCTCAGAATCTTTGTTACTTGGAGCACTAATACTTTTCCTTTTCATAATTGCCATTGAAATTTACCACGCAAAATCAGCAGAGCCAGTTTAAAATTTTCAATAATGCTTCCAACTATCTTCTTGGAAATTTGGCAAAGCCTTCGACCTCAGTCTTTGTGCTTATGTCCAGAAAGTTTTTTTCATAATCCATCATTTCAGTCTAATTTAACATCTTACTTCTTAATTATTCACAAAACTGATGTTGTAGGAAGTGGAAAGTGAGATGATGAAATGATACATTCCTCTGTAGATTTTGACTTGTTCTCCTATAGTTTTTACTTTGGGGATTTCATAAACTAGCTACCAATAATTTTAATTCTGAACACTGATGTGTCAGAGAGGAACCCAAGCTTCTAAAAAAAACCGTGAGCGTAGGCGATAGTGTCCTGACAACATTGGAGTTCTTGAAATGATTGATGAAATGACGTGCTGTGAAGATTATTGTGAGACATTTGAAAATATATCCAAATACACATCGTCAAATTAGGACAATAGCTTATGCATAGTTCAGTTTGAGTGGGAGAATAACTCAATGAAATGTTAGCCTTATTCCTGCCAAGAATATATAAACACGATTCTACAAATAACTTTGTAATCAAATTCCCTCATAAGCCTCTCTTCGATTAATACTTGAAACATGGTGTATGGTCATCATACCTATGTTAAAATTGCAAAAACACCGTAGTTTATTACTGTTTGATTTCGAAACATCTTGTTCTCTTGTTCATCATTGCACCACTCATACTCCAATGAACTCTGAATAATACATGAGAATTAAAAGAAAATAAAGAAGTTATTACGCTTGGTAGTTTTGAACAGGATGAAGGTGTTTCGGAATCAACGAATAGATTCCTGAAATCATAATACGTTACATTATTGCCCGTCGTACTCTATTTCGCTCTACGTTCATAGATAAACCGTGAAATACTAACATTCCTTTTGTATCATCAGATTGAATCATGACTTGGATGCTTCAACATCTTCCTCTGGTTGGATTATTATGCGTGCTTTGTGTTCACTGCACACCCATGTACTCACGCGAGCCGATTTTCCAGAACGAGCTGGCACCTTCGCTTGTCCTGGACCGTATTAACGATTTGAGAGATTCTATTGAAAAGCTGCAACAAATGAATAGCCGCGTCCGTTGCCAAATAAAAGGTAAGCAAGAATGCTGAGCTAATTATCTTTCAGCAAATTACCGCACATCACTAAGCCTTACCATTTATGGCCTTGAATATCTTATCAATTGATTATCTCATTGTCTATTTTCAGAGCTGGAAAATGCTGGAGTACGTGCAAAACGTGATGTGGGCCCAGCGCAACGGCTAAACGACATTATTGACGTCTTGCGATTCTCCCATATGCCTGATAAGAACGCTGATTGCTAATCGGTTGACAAGAAGGACAAAAAATGAGAATAGGAGACCGAGATGCCGATTAAATGAAGATATAAGAACAAAAAAAACTGTAGTCAAGACGCCCAAGCTTATAGTTGCTATGCAATTAATATAATTATAACCTGAAGAATTGGCACGAAATAAACTGTTAAATTGACCCGATTTCCAATTGATATAAATGAAGCCGATTGGGTTTTGTTCTGTAAAGACCAAATTAAAAATTTAAAAATCTGCAGCTTCCGGGAACAACCGCTCTTCAGGAAATGAAAATTAAAATGAACATCACGTAAAATGTTTTGATATGTGGATTGCATTGCACCACGTATGCTAATGAGCTCAGATTGCGACAAACGTGGCATTTTCTGAAAAATAGAAATTTCACTATAAATAACAGACACATTCAAAATATCTGCTGATATATCCCTCCTATGTGTGTAAGTGTGTGCTGCGCGTTGTATAAATGACACGTGTCCAGTTAATATGGTTAATTTCTTTTATTTTTAGTTACACAACTCTTTTCTTTATTGAATATATCTCCTCAGCTGATTCACTTACTTCTTCTTCTCCAAAGTATCTTCATTGTACTTGCCAATAAAATAAAAAGGCATTCGGGTTGTAAAGTTTCTCTTTGTTCATCATCAACCAACACTTGATAAAACAAAAGAAACCGTATGGCGACGCTGATGAAGAACAGAACGAACTTAAGTAAATGCAGATAATCTGTTGTCTGCAATGGCTCTGATGACAGATCTATCTGTCTCAGTTTTGAAACAAGTTCCGAATTTGGTCATATATCTGGACACAGAGATAAATAACATAGTCTTCGCCATCTCCTCCCCCTAAACAGACGTGAGGCTTGCCCAAGAATAGATATATATAATGACAAGAGAGCCATTCGTTATCAACTATACGACGACGTATTGCGGACTGGAATCGGCCTCAAATTACGTATTTTTATTTCAATTACCTTTAATGCTTTAATTAATTAATTAAATTGAAGTTGAGAAGCATCACAATATCTTTTTTTGTCTCCAATTAGAAGACTGATTTCTTATTTTCACATGACTTTTTATGAACATGAAAGTTTCGTGAGTGTATGTGTGTGTGCGTGCAATCAATATGATTTGCCCTGTGGTTAACAACATGTTCACAAACTAAATATAGGGAACGGAGCTTTCAGTGACTACTGCCCAGCCCAAAAACATATAATATGCCATTCATCATTATGCTGCTCATTTATTTCGTTATGTTTGTAACTTACTAGACATTTAATTATGTTTGGATTATTTGCTTTCGAAAGGCATATGTGTGCTTGTAAACCGTTTATCTTTAATAACACTATTCAACCGCTTATATTACAACTAGCATCATCCCTTCTAGAGATTTGTGACCTATTCATTTCCTTTTCATCTTTTGCCTCGGATTTCAATCCTTTCGCTTGTATATATCAATTGTGAGCTAGTTCCTATCATGAAACATGGATATGTGTCTGCTATCTGCCCATTGGTCATGAGAGAATACGGTCCAGCCTTGAACTTACCTATTCTCGATCATCCCCCCTTCCTCGCCACAAAAGACTATTTTTCTATCAGATATGGAAATCTCCGTCTGACTATTTCTACTGGTCGGCATAATTTTCTGAAACATTTCCTATAAATTTGAGGTCTTATGCAGCGCGCGGTTTTACGTTGATGTTTCCAATGATCTGACGATCTCTAGCGATTGATAGATAACAGTTGGAAGTTTTCTTCGTCGTCTACCTTCTTGCTGCTCCAGATTATTATATGATCTAAGGACTTTTGATCATATAAGTCTACGTTTCCGCTCACTTCTCCTTTTGAGAATGAAGATCGTGATTAGCAGGACGACTGGTTCAGTTTCAGTCGCAACTAGCATTCATTGACAAACACAATAATCATCATCTCATTTTTCAAACTTTTTCTCACCTTGAGACGGTCTTTCCTGTTTTTTTTCAGTATTGTCAACCTAACCCACGCTCTGAACTCTCTTATTTTTTTTATTTTCCTTGCTGCTGCTATCATCATCAAGCATTTGAAGTAGTTCGTTTCCCGCGTCAAATATGCTAATGAGTTTAACATTTGCATACTTCGTGGCATGTATTGTGTGTCTGTGTATATGAATGTATATGTTTGAATATTAGATTAAGTACAGTTTGCTACTTTAATTCTCTTTGTATTCCAGATTCCTAATCAAGTTCTTTCCATAAATTAGCCCAACACACTTGTGTCCGTTCCGAAAAAAAGCAATTTCCTGCCATTTTCCTGTGAGACTTATCTCGAGCTTATTATCCCTAATTGTGCATGGAAAACGCTTCATAAATTGGAAACAGGTGCTTAAATATAACTGAGTGTGGCAAAAAGAGATTTCTTTCTTTCATCTTTGTCTCTCTTTCTCTATCCACCCCCCCCCTCTCTACTCATTATATATCCATTTATCTTTTCTCCTTCATAGCTGACATGCAGCGATTTTTGTTTGAAATTCGTTGGCTGAGAGGACGTACTAGAAGTAACACATTCGCAACTGCTGCTCAAGTCCCTCTATCAAAGATCGAATAGACTTTGTTATTTCAATTAAGTAACTTATTATCCCCATAATATCGAGATTTGTAGTCATGCACAGACCAAGCACAATCAATCAAAGAGCACAAACACCAGTTGGTTTTTCCATAATCCCAGGCTTTACCTTCGAATTCCTGAAGTTTTGCTTAACTTTAGGCTCGTTTGTCGTATTTGTTCTTTGTCTTGCGGCACGGCAAGTCATTCTCTCTTCCTATCTTTCATCACATTTCAATACATCATGGGGCGTGTCCAGAATACTATTAATGCTTTATTTGAGTAGACCTGGAAGTGAGGTCCATCCTTAATTTGTTTCTTTTATTTTTAATTCTCATCGCCTGCTTACCGGTTGTTTGCATTTGCTGTTTTCTCTTATATCTATTTTTGATATCTATTATCAAATATCTATATCATAAATAGTTTATATTTACAGACTGACGAGCATATCCTTATCATTAGTTAAATGTAGATTACTTCAAGACGGGTTTCACTTTGATTCATTCTTCTGTGAGTTATTTGCTTAGTTTATTATAATCCTTTCGTGTTTTCCGGGTTCAGAGTGACATATCATTCGTATTTTTTTAATTTGTGCATCCTCAATCTCATCATTATGCAGTATTTGGACGATATCATTGAGTGTAAGTCTATCATCCATCATTCTCCCATCTTACTCATCCTATCTTTCAGTAATTGAAGATCTACCATGTGAAGTTGAACGGAGGTTCGAGCAAATTCGACGCTGGGATACTGAAGTTGAAAGTCAGTTTTTTTTATTTGTTAAACACTTTTTGCTGACGTGACACCTCCTCATCTATAGTGTTAAGTATCGCTTTGTTCGTTAACCAACGGGTGAACACTGCAGTTCTTAACAACCAACTGTTTTTAGAGGAACACTTTTCGTTTTTAAAGTATTCACTTTTGTAGAGCTCAGAGTAGCAGCAAGCGATTTACAAAACAGGGTTTTCGAAGATCACAAGAATGTGGACAATGAAGAAAAGCCGAGCTTATGCTATGAGTTGGCGGAGGTAGAGATCACATCCACGTGATCCATATAAACAATCTTTGCTTTCAAGATCCATCGCTTAGTTCGAGATATCACAGAGAGAAAGCTAGATTTAGCCGCTCGCACCGAGCGACTGATGGCTGCTATTGCTGATAAGGTAACAACAACCTCTTGTTTTTTTTTGACGGCCCACCTTATAGGTACAAGAAAGTGCTTATCACTGTAAAATCGAACTGGAAGTTGACAATCCTGGTTGTACTGAACTCATCGAGCAGAGTATTGTTTTTTTGAATTTTTTTTTTTGAATGTTTGCTCTTCAGACTTCTGTCAGTCCTTAGGCTTGAGACCCAGTTCCACGCATATCACCGATTGTTCAATGGAATTCGAACCATTGGATAGAATGGGTGGATTATCAGGAGATTTGCATGTTCAGAACCGTGATGTGCTGAGTAAGTACTATAGTTGGTTTCTTCATTGTCTAGTGGGGAATGAGAGTTTCTTTCTTATGACTTACACGCTGAGAAGGCATAAACGGGTTTTTCTTAGTTTTCCTAGTTCTTGGTCACACAGATGTTTTGGTTGTTCATCTCTCTGTCTTCTCTGTAAATTCATTCCACGCCTCTCCTCTTTCGCCCTGTCTCTCCTTTTCACACGTATACTTAACTTGCTGTTTTGCAACAGAACGTATTCGTTGCCCGTTTTGTTTCGATTGTCATCGGCGGGTGAGATTTGACTTGTGACTCCCTTTTTACATGAGAAAGAGAAGCAAAATGTGTGAATTATTCATCGTTTCACTCATGTTATAAATGAAGACAATGAATCCTGGGTGTAAGTACGGATGTACTATCCAACGATATCATACTGGTCCTTGGTTTTAGAAATCAAGGACTCAAGTTCAACGAATGGTATTAATGAGGGACTTTAATGATATCATTTCAGAAGAGCGGACTAACAAAGGGAAGGGTGATCAAAATGTCGTCCCAACTTCTACTTCTGGCTCTAACTTTGGCAAAAAATACAAGAAAAGGAAAGATCCTCACAACCCTGCTCCTATGACTGCCTACATGCGAAAAAAAATTGAGAAGAATCGTGAAAAACAGAAAGTTCAAGAAACGCATGTTCGGAGAGAACAGGAGAGGAAAAGGGACAATTCCGTTTCGGTTCCCCAACTTCGTAAGTATTCGAGATGAGGGATTGTTTCTTACCGTGACAGTTTCAGCTCAACCACCCTCACGAGCTGAGTCCACTATGGACTGTGCCACGGCACCCAGTTGCGACATGGACGATGACCTCGCCTGGTCCGGAGGGCTGCCAGGTTTGTGGAAGATTTAAAAAATTCTTCATAATAGTTTTAGATATTCTAGGTTCAGATGACGATTTTGATCCAAATGAAGTTTTGGATTTATTCCCTATCGTGCTACCATCACCTCCTCGCGAGCTCATGGAGTCATTGAAAGAGGATTTTGTTTTTGACGAAGAGATGAACTTGAGCTCTCCTAGCTCTCCCTCTTCGTCCAGACCATCAAGCTCATTAGTCCCATCTTCCGTAAAATACAAAGGAGAGCGAATGCGACATGACTCTGTAAGAAACTTTTACTCAACCTTTTCACAATCGTAAACTATGTTTTAAACTAGATTTTATAGGGATCTCAGCTAGGAGATTATGGTTCAGAAAAAAAAAGAAAAAACATAATGTTCAGTAGTGTTAGTGATACCAGTATGCATGGCAGACCTAGAAAGTAAGTATTGATTTGCCATTCCTTATTGGGTTTTTCTACGTAGGCTGACTGATCGAGCCGTAGAGCTACTTCAGTTAGAGAGAGAAAAACTCAGAAAAAAGGAAGATGATGAGGATAAGTGGTGCATATGTGGTGATGTATGTGCCGTAAATTCTCGAACGCTTTAACATTGTCTTTTTTTCAGATATCGAGTGGCGAAATGATCCAATGCGATGGATCTGAGGTAATCCCTGATCATCTTTTTGTTTAACACGTGATATCATTTTCAGTGTGCAATCAGTTGGTTTCATTTTGATTGCATGGGCTTAACCTGTGCACCTGCAGGAGCCTGGTTTTGCCCGACATGTGCCAAAGGAATGAGCAGACCGAAACCTTTCTCGAACTAATCTTAGCCATTTATTGTTTCTGTTATGTGTTACGTTATTTCCGGGTCGTTCTCTGGGTTCTCCATCCTATAGCTCTTTCAGTTTTTGTTTCTTCCGCGCGTTGCTAAGGTTAAATCAGATTACAAGTCCTTCGGCAGGTATTAATGGAAAATCCACAAAATCTTTTGATTATATTGATGCGTGTTAAGCCTAGATCTCATTGTAATATTGTAAGATTTGCGTCATTTGAAATTTTTTTCGATCTAAGAAGACTATAGTTGAATATGATTATCTATGTAATAATTCTTCCGAAACTCGTGTTCATGGACTTCTCTTGCTCTCTCTCTCTCGCTCTCTCGTGTAGTTTGTGTGTAATAATTGAATTCTTTCTACTCATATCTACCATCTCAGATTTTAAAGAGTTTTTATCACAGGGCCTCTCTCCTTAGTGTTTGCACTTGCTTTACCTTTTTTATTTTCATTCTAGCTCAGACACATTCCTTATTCATCTTCATTCTATCCATAATTGTTTTTATTTCTCTCTCCTCCCATCCTGATCATGGTCGTAGACTCATCAGAGTGCTATCTCGGAGAACGCTTTCTAAAATGTGTGCATGTCCACAATCTTTTTTTTTTGTTTCAAAACTATTATAAAAGTTTCTATTGAGAGAATGAGATTTCATCAGAGTATGTATATTATCAGCAGACAGAGACACACAGCAGCACATTACCCATTGCTATGAACTTTGTTTGTACTATTGAACGCTCGAGAATCTCAGCCTGTCTCAGCCAATTTCAAAATAGAATGAAGAAATGTCAAAAACAAAAGGCAACGCAAGCTTATCACAAATTATAAATAGAATAAGTTATATAGACGCGTTTTATAAATATTCTCAGATTAAATACAAAGAAAAAAGGATTTTGTAAAGCATTTCGCACAGCATATAGGGAGAGATGCTATAAGAGAGGAGTTCGAGAGAGAGACGACGAAAGCGCGACAGAGAGTAGGTCAGAGACGTAGAGTGTATTGGTCGGCCAGAGAAGCAGACTCGGCTATGCCTCCCGGTCAGATGATGACATTAGCCTAACTTATGGTTTCAGGTTGCGATATTGTTTAATAAATTTCCATATAACTTACATATCGGATGTTGATAGTCAGAAGACAGTTAGTCACGGCTAGAAGCATAAGTTCTCATCGTATTGCTATTGATGATTGAGCCGAATTCGAAGGAAAGTTTGGAAAAGAGTTGACTTTAATGGCTTGCCATATACAAAGCGACTATTATTTAAAATGTGTGTGTGATGTTCCTCTAATGATAAATTAGACAACTTCTATTAAAAGCCAAATAGATGGTTGTTCATATTTATGGGGGTTGAGCCTTCTTTATTGATTGCCACATTCACAATTTTTATCATTATTTTCTCAGTTACTTCCTCTCTCCTTGTCCTTCTCTATCTCTCAAACCCCAGGTAATATTAACAATAAGGTTTGCTGGAAGCAAGTTTCTTATGATTCGTTGCTGTTCGCAAACCTTTATTAATCGTGCTCTGCGTCTAGAATTACTCTAACCTTTCCACTCCCTACAACACTGTCCGACTACTACTACTAGTCATCATCTTAATCATTTTGATCCTCGTCTTCGTATTCTTCGTGTAATGCTTCTTTTTCTGTCTCTAGATTCATCTTTCAGTTAAAATGGAAGATTTATGCAAACAATACAATTTAACAGATTCTGAAATCGGAACTCTAAAGCAATTTGAGGTTTTTCACATGTTTCCCTCATCTTCCTTCTTATACATACATGCTTCTAGGAAATAACAAACTCCGAAGATCATGAAGTCAACATAGGTACTTTGAAGTCCTTACATTGGAATTTGGAGAGAGCCATTGAAACGCATCTATGTGGCGAACCAAAAGACGTCCCTATGGAGCAAGATGATGTATTGAAATTCAAATCTGTCCTTTGCTAATTAAACTTCCTTCTAGAATGATGATATACAGATTTTAGGATCAAATAATGTTTCTAATGATGATAGTAACAATTTTCATACGTCAAGGTAAGCTTTTGAACTCATATATCACATCACCAAGTGCATTCTTTCAGAAGACCTCTCAGAACATACATGACTAGATCTAGTAAGTCATCGAGTCATCAAGGAAGTAATAAAACAATCACTTTTAAGATACACGGGAACAGGCTCTTCGTCGTACTCAAGGCACTGAGTATTCAGATGATAATGAAATCAACTCCGATGATGACTTCACCGTAGATTCTGATGAGCTCGACAACTCAAGCAGCGTGAGTTTCATTTTCAACTAATTTTTATCTGATGTGGTCGTTACAGTTGAATAGGGTTCCTCTCATTCCAACCGAAGTTGATTCAGTGATTGAGGCTGTTCAGAACTTTGTCACTGTTTTTAGGGCGAGGTAATATCCATCTTGTGTGGATATATGGCTTGATTTCAATCGTTTCAGATATGTAGATTCTACTCCAAGAACTATGCCTAACTTCTTCCAAGGTTCTTTACCAGATGCTATCCGCGAAGCTTTCGAAAGTCCATCCAAGTAATATATAGGCTTTCGTTTATGAAGTATACTCGAATGTTCTAGACCTATCGAGGAACGCCGGCCTCTGGCTATCTACGTTCATAATGACAAATCAGTGTGCGCAAACATATTTGCAACGGAGGTAGTGTAGTGTTTATGTGGTGTTGTTTAGAATTTCCCGTTTAGGTGCTCTGTAATTCGCAAGTATCTGCTTTGTTGAAGCATCAATACATTGTGTGGCCATGGGATATTACTTTTCCGTTAGTGCTCACCTACCGTTTCCATTGCCTCATGATTGATATTGCAGTGAAAACGAGAAGAAACTGAAAGATTGGCTTTCATTAGTTCAAATGGATGAATTGAATATGTCATTGGAATTCAACTGTCGCTTTGAAAACAAACTTCCTGTGCTCGCGGTGATCACACGTGAAAAAGGAAGTTTTAAAGCAGTTGATCTTTGCTACGGTTTGTTTTTGTTTATTCTGACCTTCTCTTATCTTTCTCATGACTAAACTAAACAATTATCTTGTAGGCGCAGACACTCTCGATGTGGTATTGCATAAGCTCATGTCAGGTGTTGAAGCTTATACTGACATTCGACTGACTGAAGTGAAAGAGCACAAGGGACGAGTCGAAAGAGAACAAATTCGTTTGGAGCAAGCACAGGAGTATGAAGCATCTTTGGCTGCTGATAAAGCTCGTATGGAGGCAAAAATGAAAGAGATCGAAGAGCAGAGGCTTGAAGAAGAGAGAAAGCTCAAAGCAGAGGAAGACGAAAAGATACAGTACGTTCAATTTCCTGAACATTTGCGAAAACTTTTTTTAGTCGTGCACAATTAGCGAGTGAACTTCCTGAAGAACCTGCAGAGAACGAGGCAGGAGCTATAGTTATTAAATTCAGGCTCCCTAACGACGAGCAGGTTTGGCAGGAAATGTCTTTTCAAGTTAATAAATTTATTTCTAGCTGGTTCGCCGTTTCCGAAAGTCGGAATCTTTATCAATTTTGTTGAAATATCTGAGTGCTCAGGGATATCATAGTAAAGAGTATAGATTTATGAACTCTGATTTTCCTAAGAAGGATGTAAGTTGTTAGCTTGTTTAGCCAATCATAAGCTTACGCTTTTCAGGTGGCTAACTGGGATGGAAGTAAAACGTTTGAAGAACTCAAATGGCCGGTTCGTGAACAAATTTTTGTAGAAGAAGTTTGATATAAATACGGGTTCCCGATGTTCCTGATAACCTCTTTCATACAAATCTCAGTATACGCAGGTACTATATCCATGTCGCTTCTATTGCGTATGGAACCGTTGGGGTCATACAAATCGAGTTTATCATGAATGCATTGGCATTCTATCCTTTTTGATGCTGAACTAGCATAATATAATTTTATTTCTTAATTTAACACTTTAATCGAGTCCACTTCGAAGTAACCGAACGTTTTCACGTTTACTGTCGTAATTTTAACTTCTAATTCAATTGTGTTTCTTAGGTTTCGTTTGATGCCCATTTTCTTGGATCACCAAGAGTCATTTTTATATCATTTATTATCAAATACCACCTATGTCATTTTGATTTGTGCATGAAATATATGAAGTTGTATCAGCTTTACATTTCCATTTCATTCAATCACATACTATCTTACTTGCTGGGAGATTTCAGCTTGAATGACAGCTTTCCGACTTTAGTAAGAGCACCATTAGTCTTGAGGTGTAAATACTGGTCCTTGATCACGTATGTGCGGGGTCCCTTCCATCCCTAAACTACTATATCATCACGTGCACACACCCTCGCACTAACATCAAATTTCATTGGTGGGGATGAAGGTCCGTTATACCAGATGCTACAAGCAGCAGAAATGTTTGGATCACGGTCTTCAAGAACTATTGCGAGGTATGGTCTTGTCAGACTTACCAAGATCGAAATCATAAGTTCCTCCTTTGCCATTGACAATAACTCTGCCAAAACAACGTGCCGAATCACAGCACTCTACTTGGTAGCCTTGAGATTCTTCGTTGATGATCTGAATATTTTCGAAAAACCGAAAAACGTTCACTCATTACCTGAATGCGATCAACGGCAGCATTAAGAACGCCGAATAAAGCAAGGAGAAAGAGAGTTGAAGCGGGTAACCACATAGCTAGGATACACGAATGAACAACTTGAATGTGATTTGAGGATTATTTGTGAACTTTTTATCGCTTTCTTTAAGTGTAATATCCTGTGAGAGATGTAATGATCAGTGTTGAAGCAAAGCAACTTATCACAACTGGTTGCCGAGATGCCAATGAGCAATTCATTTTGAAAAATGATTAGGCAGAGAGCGGTTGTGTTTTTTTGTTGTATGTTTATTGAAATCGAATTTTACAGAAACAATGGTTATGAATCTTCCCTGATTAATATTTTAACAAAAGTAAAGGTTAGTGAGTTATTAAATTTCCGAAAACTGTCTTTAAAAGCTAGGTAAATGAGAAATTAAACGACCAGCGAACTCTCAACTCAATCAACTCAACAATAGCTCACAATTGAAGATGAGATGCAAATGAGATACAAAAGTACAATATTAAAACAATCGACACGAATCTATGAGTGTAACCGTACAGTAAAAGGTATGAAAAAATGTACAATATAAACAAAACAACAATGCGCAAAAATGGATTGGATAAAACAATGCCTAAACGGTGATAACAGGAGTTAGTATAAAGCTGGTTCAGGTATTTTGGATAACAAGGTATTAATATCGAGACGGGAAGAACAATCGGGGCAGTACCATTTACCTTTGGGGATACTCTCAACACCTACACAGCCATAATGGAACCATTGATATCGGCACTTCAAAAACAAAATTAGTTTTCTTAGTTCGAACAACTATCAATGATACCTGTTTGTTATCACAGGCTACCATTTGGCCGTAGCTTGGTGAACCGCAGAAACACCAAGATCTACAATTATCATCAGAATCAGAGTTTTCTGATAACAACATTGTGAGTCTCATTGACATGATATCAAACCTTCAAGATCACCGTCAAGCTCAACTTGATGGGAATTAGAATGATGTCTGCGTTGCCTTTGGACTGCCTCTGTGAACATTTCCTGTACACGAGAAGTCAATCTATAACGAGAAACATTAATGACAAAGTTTCAGATCAAAACTCACTTCCTAGGCCTTCCATGTCGACTTTCCGCACCGACAAATGAGAGAGCAGGGGTTGAGAGCCCGAACGAAGCCTAAAAATACATTGAGTCTAATGAATATTGCATTGAAACTTACCCCGAGGAAGGAGCTGTTCGGCGAATGGTCATCCGCAGCAACAGAACCAGACCAACCTAAGTATGACTATATGAGAAAGAAGAATTTAGGTTGAACTTACTCTTTTCCGAAACCGCTGGTGACATTCCCCCAAGCCCAGTCAGAGATGATGAAACGGATGCTGAATTTTTCAGTGAATGGCTAATTGATGGACGTTTCTAAAATGAGAAGAGTACATTGGATATATATTTGAGTTAACTACTTTTGGTTGATGATCATCTCTATCCTTCTTCATTCTGTTGGAGATTGCATGAGAATTATTATGATGAGAAGATAATGAGAGAGGGAACAACTAGAACAACGATTAAATGAGAAAGCAAATTGGACTTCAAACTCACATCATCATCGACCAACCCTAAGTCTGATTGAACTGCAGAAGACAGTAAGAAATCATCACTCGACATTCTGTAAAGCAGTGAGTTAAGATGCGACAACATAATCAAAAACTACTTTCTTGGTTTTGACAGCATGTCTTGATACAACTGAGAAGACCCATTCTGTCCATTGTTGTTATGTTTTCGCTTTCTTTCTTTCCTCATAGAAATGACAGATTGGACATAAGTAGAGAACCCTGGAAGAACCGAATGTCAAGAGAAAGTCAGGAAGGAACATACGAGTTTCAATATTCTCCGTGACTCCTGGGTTGTCAGCTTCTAATTCATATTTGAAATGAGTTTTTTCTTTTTCTAGATGTTGAACGTATCTAAATAGATTATGATTGAGAACATTGGCTTTCAACGATATGCTTACTTCTCCACCAGCTCTTGCATTCTCTCAGCAATCGCTACCTTGTCTTCAGCTAAAGTTCTCAAACGCTGATATTCCTAGAATGGTCATACAATCACATTCACATAACATCAAACTGAAACTCACAGTTTTTAACTGCTGGTATCTTTCTTGCTTTTCAGTTTCACTCATTCTTTCAGCTTCATTGAAATACTCGAGGATGGCTTGATCGTTCTTCTCCAAGCCAGCTAATCATATCATTATAATGCGGTCAAATCAAGTTTAAATCTTACTTTGTACAACTTCATCAAGACTTCGGAGTTCAGCACATCTTTCCTTCAACTCACTAGGGAGCTCATCCAACACTATAGAAAACACATGAGATGAATACGAAATATGAAAACTTACTTTCCAAAAAATCATCCAAAAACAGCATCGTCGGTTCAAAACCTAGAAACAGAGCATGTAAAGAGATGTGATTCAACAGAACAAGAGATATCGTATGGTTCAAGACCAGTTATTAATTACGAAATTAACAAGAATTCTAAAATTTATCCGTAAAGAAATACATTTACATCCTATCTACTAAACAGGAAACAATCTATTCTTCAAGTTCAAAGGAATAGTTAACGACAGGATATTTACGAGCGTCGTCAAATGGATAAGCCCTGTAGAAATCTAATGGATATTGTTTGGGCATCTGAAAAATGAAAATATTACAAATGGGATGTGAGACTTGAACATACCGCAGGGTTTCTCCATCGGAGAGCGTTGGGGTGGTCATTACAGAAATACCAAGCTATGAGAGCCATCGGAACTAATACACGAAGACACAAAACAATTGAGCCCCATCTGATTGATTTCGTAAATGAGCAAAACAACGTTATGAAAACTCACGTGGTATAATCTTCAGCTTCTAATCCTGTGAATGTTAAACGATCTCCTCTGTAGCGCATCATATCAATTCCGACCTGTAACCTTGGAGTTAGAAAAGTATTTTCTTCATCATAATTACCATTTCTCCCCAATTTCTTCTATTCTGTGAGTCAGTCCAGTTCTCATAAGGATCCTTATGATCGTAGGTAACAATACCAAGATCAGGATAGTCTCCTGCATATCTGATGACATCATCCTTGTCCATTGGATGATAATCCTCTGGACGTAAACCGTATCTAAAAAACTTAAACGTTTAAAACACTGCTTATTATACTGACTTCATAGCAGCAGCTTTGCGCTCGACGTCGTTAACAGGAAGTGCCCCAGGTTTGTGATCTCTTGGATACCATCCTTCGAATGACAATGGTCCTCTGTCTTAAAACAATATTTGTATAATGAAATAAGAAATGAACAAGTAATAAACAAAATCAAAACTAAAACATGAATAAGCGTTTCAAACTAACTTACTGGATAGTATTCGAGTAGAATGCACGTACCGACGAGCAATAGCTCTCAAATTTGAGGATAGCATTTTTATCCTTAAATTGATATATACAGTAATATAAATAAACAAACTATATGAAAAAAATGTTTTGAAAATGCATTTTAAGTTTGACACCAAACTCAATACTGCAACTAGCGCATAGCACATTGTAAACAGCGTGCAGACCCTCCGAGCCGCGAGGCGCAATCCAGCCATTACGTGACTTATAGAACGGATTGTTTGATAGGAATTGTATTGTACTGGATATCAGAAAAATGCATTGACTCCATTTCCTTTGTATGTGTCACTTATTGTACATCGTAAGATGTTTGATGCATGAAATGATATGCTAATTCCTCTCATTCGACGTTCCACGTTTTCAATAGAATCTTTTGCGTTAATTAGCATACGTGGTGAATCCGTGAACGCTATCGCGTTCGAACAGTTGACATTATTCGTTTTATTATTGTATTAACCGGTTGCATTCCTACTTTTCGTAGTTTTTCCATATCTACACAATGCATTCACCAATTAGAGCTGTTTTAAATTTTTCCTGAGAAAACACTAAGCGATTGCGAATATTACCAACATTGCTTTATCATCATCAGTGGAATGAATGTACTGTGCTGTTGTTATAATTTGTCCGAATTAGAGGGTGTGGACGAATTAGAGGGAATCACTTTTGGCTTCGTTATATGCGACGAAAGAAATTGATGAAGAATCTCAGTTATTCACTTTTCCTTGTTCAAACATCATTCTTATCCTTCCTAGTTAGTAGTGTGAAATCAGGTTATTTGAAGAAAGCCTTTTCTATGAGGAAGGACTCGCATTCTTCAATATTTAAGAAAATCTCTGATGAACTGACCGAATTTGTATACTGGAAGTTAATATCAGGAGAAGTGTTTGTTGGTCTTGGAACTTAAGTTTTGAAACATTAGGGTTGTTTTCATCAGGTTTTCCCATGGAGGAATGACCACCGTTTCGTCGTAAACATTCGGTTATAAGCAGGTAATTAATATTATGAACTTATTTGTTATTAATATAAACTTGTCACATCAGTTTAAGCACAAACTTTCCAGTTGAAACATCAAATGTTGTTCATTCAATGGAAAGTTATAGGGTCAACAGGAGAAAGTCAAAGGTTGTTTACAAGACATCTGATTTCGGTAGAAGTTTGAGCAAACCAGTGCATGACTAGGATTGTTACAACTGGGTAATCTGAAGAATGCCGATGAAACACACGACCATTTTATTCTGAAAGTGGAGAAGATGAATCAAACAAGATACGTGAACGTGTGAAACGTCATTGATGTTCAGTTTTTATGACAAAAATGATGGATGATAACAACGAATTATGCTTTCAGATCGTTAAAAACACTTTTACCTTATCCAGCATCAGGATATAGGATGAATTGAAAATAGCAACACAAGTGTTGGTTAGAGGAAGACCAACTTTTTGAACTTCGGAACTTTCGCGCAATAAGGGTTAGAACCATGGGCTTAAGAAGATAAGTGAGAGTGCGGAGAATATCATATGAATCTGATGACCAATAATCACAACGAAATGATGCCACATGATCTAACATGAACACTTCGAATCATAACAATGAACTGATTTAGATTATGACTATTTCTCTGAAAGCAAAGCTAGATAGATGTGTCTTGTCTTTCACATTGAAATAGCTCAGTTCTGACGTAGTTCTTTACAATCACCGCACCCATATTACAGCTGCTTTAATTGGATTTTGTTGATTAAAGATCACTGTTAGTGAGCGAACAAGCAATTATCATTTAACTTCTAGTATTTTCTGGAAAAGTGTTGGTACAATCTCCTGTTGGAGTTCTTCATGTACATCTCATAAGTCAGATTGATAGTTACGGCTGGTGGTTGACGAAAATGACCGTTGACCGTGGTCATGATAAGGAATGAAGTTCGGGATGTTCTCAACGACACGCTACTGATTTCAAATATTTCGGGAATTTCAGTAGAACAAATAACTTTTTTTTCTTATCTCTCCGACCAATAACTTAATTGCTCTGAGTCATTTGCCATAAAAGGAATTTTTTCAAATTTTGTCAAACTTCGGTATTCCCAAAGGTTCTTCGAACTTCCCTATGGTTCACCGTTGGCTCCGCCCACTTTTCGTGTGAAAGGCTCGTTTGTGACGAAGTTGCCTTCAAAACAGCCGTGACTAAACGTGACCAAGACTATATATAGCTTGGAGAAACCTATCGTTCCCATCAAGCTCCTGTCTTCTTCTCCTATAGCAACTTCGTCCTCAGAGCAATTTGAGTGTTTCTTCTCTATGGTTTTCTACATCCTTCACATCCTTCACATCATCGTAGATTCTTCTTCCGCATTGAAACGCAGACAGTGAGAATATTCTTACCTATTTGGGGGAGATACACTTTCTATGAATTATGCGCATAGCGAAGAAAAACTTGAACACTAATTTGGTCACACAGTTAATCATGTAATTAGTTAAGCTGTGGGTTCCCTTATATCTAATGTAAATACCTTGTATCCTAACACTTCTCTTTCCATTTATAGCTTCATTTACCGGTTTTTTGAAGATTTCGGTGACACTTTTAGAAGATTCTTCGCATTCCTCAATCATTATAATTATTTGTTGTATTTCGTGTAAACCTTGCGAATGTCGTTACGAAGAGTATTTTATGAACAGTCGCTTCATTTTCAGAATCAACGTTCTTATCAACATGTTCGTCCGCATTTCTGTCCTTGTCTTAACAGTCAGTCTGGGTTGCTTGGCTGCCCCCGTAATTCCTGGCATTGAAGATCTCAACCTTCCTTCTTTCACTAAAGAAGAAACCCATTGTAAGTCTCTAAAAATACCGTTTGAAGTTCTAAAAAAACTTTCATGTGACAAATGTTTATGTAGTTTTTCACTTAGTTTTTTGTCCTTATTATTCGTCATGGTGATAAAAAACAGATAAATGATCAGCAAGTCATTTTCTGACAAGTCATATCATTCACATGATTCAATCTTTCGTGACCAACAGCCAGACAAAGCTGGTTTAACCAAGAATCATCTATAGTCTTAATATGAAATGAAATGAACTCCCTCAATCCATACATTTCAGCTGAGAAGTTTACACGTTCTGATATGAACAAAGACAAGAAGCTCAACTTTGATGAATTCTTGCACATGGAATTGGCTTACGTTGAAGCCAAGAAAGAAGAATTCGAAGGCCTCGATTCAAACCGTAAGTCGAAATGAATCTAAAAGACCTACAACGAACATTTAGACGATGGTATGATAACACAAGAAGAGTATGAGAAGCATCATCATGAAGTCAACAGCAAGAGTGCCGCTCTTCGTGCCGAGTACTTCAGCAAAGTTTTTGAAGAGTTCGATGAAGACTTCGATATGGCTTTGAACCAAGAAGAAGTTGAGAGAGTTTTGGCTGAAAGGTGACACACTCATTCCCCATTTTCAAATTTTACCATTAATTTTGTAGATTCTTGGTTAAACCAAAAGAGAACTTCCCAAAGATCTTCTACAATTTCGATTCTGACCACAGTGGGGGACTTGACCTTTCAGGTTTGCTAGTAATAAGCGGCTCCACTGAAGACAGTTTTTAGAATACATGAAATTCGATGCTAACTTCCCATTCGACCAAACCACTGCCATCAAAGACGAGATTAAGCAAGAGAAGCTCCCAGGAGACAAAGCAGTGAAGAATGATGCTCCACTCCCTGAATCAGCTGATGAAGCTGCTATCAAGGCAGTGCTTGCCCAATCAGGTGCCAGAAGAGCAGCTGCAGTAGCATAAGCTACTGATTTTTTACTTTTGTAAAGCTTGTTCAATAATTATTTTGAATCCGGTCTTCGCTATGGTCTCAAACTGATAATATGTAATTACGATATGTACATAAAGCCAACTCATACAGGTATTATGATCTGCTTTTCATTTTGCGTCAGCATTACCATTAGGAGACCTTATGATCTTTCATTACTCACCTTAATCATATCATTTGTAAACTATACAACAACTATGAACGAATAAAAGTTTTCATTTAAAATTTGTCTCACACGAATGAAACATGTGCAACCGTTCACAACAAACTACAATCGATCGAATGATTCAAAACAACATGTCACGTGGAATCGAACACGTGGAATCGCACACGTGGAAACGCACACGTGAAACACAGCGAGTAAACAGTTTGACTTCCGAACTGAACTTACAGGCTAAGCAACTAAAAAGGTCTTCTTAACAAATCCATACTTTTCTAACAAAAAAATCTTGGGGATGATCAGTTGTCAAAACCATAAAGTCTACACCTTTGTTAATTGACAAACCCGTGACTGCGGCAAACGTTTTAGGTTTGTGCACGAGCTTAACACGAGCATCATGAAACAGAAAAGACTTGCACACATACCTTTATATCTTTAGTCTGTTTTATGAAATATATGTTCACAACGACTTCATTTCCCAACCTCCAATCCTCCTCGTCGATTGTCAAGTTTTTCTGATTGATTCTAACCTCTATTGGTGTGGGAGTACTCGAGTTATAGGCAACCAAGTACGTCTATTGAATTATGGTAGATGTTAAGGATGATCTTATACTTACTTGTCTTCCCAATACAATACTACCAACTAGCCCGTCCGATTTGCTTGCGAACAGTGCAGTGGCTGAGACATCAGCTCTGGCTACGTAAGCGATAATCACTCGAAATACCATGTATTCGAAATTAGCCTCTAATAGAACCTAAGAAGAAATGTATAGGTATCAGCAATCAACATACCTCTTCTCTCGATCCGGCGCAGCATAACAGCAAGATAAAGACAAACATATCACGGTTTGATTTACTCTTTAGTAACTTCAATATATGAACTTGAGCTGTCATAACTAAGCAACTCACCTCGTATGCCCATCTATTGTGTCCAAGCAACTCAATCATCAGTATTTTTAAACTGCATTATTTCATTCAAAGCAGATCAACAGAAAAAAAGAGGCAAAAGCTACTTGTGCAACAAATACGTCAATGGTAGGCCATTATTTTAGCTCTAAGGATGTAAATAATATCCGTCACCAATAGAATTGGCACGATTCCAACCATGGGATGGTGCTTTTACATCAAAATGAGTTCAAGACGAAAGTACTTTTGAGCCGGTCTCGGCAAATCTTGAAAAGTGACTGAAAAAAATATTTTTCTTAGATTTTCGTCAAATTTTGAGGACATACTAATTCGAGTCTGAAACGAGAGGATATTTGATCAGAATTCAATTCTGATGCCTACTCGGCAAGATACAGAAGCTCGAAGTTTGAGCGGCGCCTCTTTTGGCTCGCCTCCAAGATATGGTCCGACTCAGCTCTGC